TCCTCCACCTTGTTGACAGTTTTGCTTGCTTCATCTGAGACAAGGAAGAAATCCGGTCTCCGCTTCGTAAGTGTTGTTGCTGGCGTACACCCGAACCAAGTGTAGCCCGAATTTGGCATGTTTCGCTCTCTGTAGATGTCTCTGAAGCCCCACGATTGCAACCACCTTATTAGGTAGGCGCTGTTCTTCTTTAGACTCTAATCTCTCTCTGAAATTCTGAATCAACTCCTGGGCTGCACAATTGATTCCAGTCTCCTCCCACTATCATCTTCTCCGAGTGAGGCAGACAGAGTGGTAGGGATTCCAAGCAATCGAGTCTGTTTAGTGCTTTGTTGGCAGCATAGATCGTGGCAAAGACCCAGTCCTCCTGATCAATTCCGCGCTTCACCCACCACCACCAGCCCCCGAGGTCAGAATCGTAATCAACTACTGCCGTGTCTATATGCTATTGAGAATAAAGACTGCTACACTCCGGCCTTGCTTCCTCTGGCCGGTGGCCCATAGTTGTGGCCCTGCCCACCAATTCTTCAGTTGACCTCGCAGCATGTCTTGGCAGCCTCCAGCATCTACCAGGTAAGACCGGTGAGGCTAGTTCCCTTCCTCCTTTCTCCTCAATCTTCTCTCGCCTCTCCTTCATCCTCTTGTCCTTCCTTATCGCCTTCTTCTCCTTCTTGTTCTCGTTCTTTTTATTCTCGAACGCCCGTCTCTTCTATCCGCTTCTGCGCTGCGTCTGGCCATGATCAAATCCAGATACTATAATAATAATTACCAGAAAATAGATACTGCAAACAGCATTAAACCAAGTTGCTACGTCTCACGGGAGACCAGATATCACCGAGCCGAGTTCGGAAGCTGAAATCAAGGCGAGATGCACACCGGATGGGAGGGAGAGAAGCACCGAAGTCCCTTGATAAAGAAGCCCTTGCAACACCTCCAATCATTATAATTTTATTTAAAATAACAACGTAGCTTCAAGTCCTACGTCGTTCTGAAAGCAGATTCTGTCGCCTATGATTCTCATCTGTTTAGTCTACTCTCATCTACAACCAGCCCATGTATTACCTTCCCAGTGCCGTTTGAAGACTCCGATTGGGCAGTCGCCCCTCGTACTTCTACGCGAAGGTACATACCCAGGCCCTTCGCATGTTTGTTTTCCTTCATCCACTCGTTCTAGTTCTTCTCTCTCTTGGGGCGATCCTTTTCCTCGCCTGCACATTTTCTTCCTCCCGAGCACCCATCTTCTCCTCTTCTTCTTCTTCGCTTTGGTCGTGACGCGGCACCTCCGACTCACAATGCTGCTCCTTTCCCTCGTAGTTGCCTGCTCCATCCTCTGGCTACCTCTTCCCTCTCTCTTATTCGTGGCTCCCTCGTTTCCCACTCTCTCGCCGACTTCCCCCTCACCTCGTCGGCTTCGTCTTCCCCTCTACTTTCCCCTCTATGGGCCCAAAAAAAAGACAGCACACCCCCTCTCCTATTTGCTCCCTTGGAATGTATCTGGCCATAGGTGCCGCCAAACTCCAACGAAAACAAAGGAAATCTCAGTACAAATTGGAACGATTGAACCCTCAAAGACGGAGAGGCTCATACTGACTAATGCAGACAATTTGCACATCAGTATTGCTGCGCCCTCTTGAGTATGTTTTGAGTAGCGCTCAGTTTGGTCCCGTGGTTCGTATTTTCCGTTCATCCCCATCGCCAGTTCTGCTGTGCTACTAGGTACGAATCTCATCCCTCTTATTCTTCCCTCCATCCCTTGTTCTTCTTCCTTCTTTTCCTCCCTCTTTTTTTTTTTTTCCTTCTTCGTTGATTTCAGTAAACTAATCGTGTGCGTACTTCCACCCGTTACGTATCTGTCTTGGATCCGAGACAGATTCATTCTCTTCTTCTTGTACTTCCTTCCCGTTGTCCTCACCTACCATCCTGCGCAGACACAGCCAAGCGAATGGGCTTGGAAGAATTGACGGAGAAAGAAGACCCGGTCGAGACTCACGTCAGCTCAACTCTACGAAATGACCGGAGAGGTGTAGAAGTGGGAGCTGTTAGGCGCACGTGTGGTCGCCTTTCTTCATCAAGGGTCATGCCGAGGGGTGCGGGCCTATGAAGCGCTCCTCCCTCCTTCCTCTTCTTCCTCCTCCCGTTCGCTTTGCAAGCTGGATCCTCACCATCGCACCTCCACGCACTGTCTTTCTTCATTCGTGTCCACCACGTGCACTCGTCATCTCTGTCCCGTGAGCGAGTACCCCCCCCCC